AGGGAACATCTCGGTTACGTATGGTAACCCTCGTTCCCTGAAGGAGGGAACGGAGACGTCACGTCCCGTCGCCATAGCTCCTGTACCACCGCTGAATGGCCAGGTCACCGGCTCGGCTCCTCAGCGAAAACCTGAATATGCGCTGCATCTGCTGCCTACTTATACTCACGCTGTGATCAGCGGCAGCTGGATGCAATAATCGCATGCCAATGTGCATTGGCTCGTTTAGTTTACACTCGAAGTAGATTGGTCTCTCTAAGCGAGATCCCAATTCGTCGGTCATCCGACGTGACGTCTCCGTTCCCTCCTTCAGGGAACGAGGGTTACCATACGTAACCGAGACGTTCTGTTAACAAGTTGATGGCTGCAAATGTAGCTTATCTTTAATAGGTTAGATCATTTAAATGTACCATTTGAAAAAATAATTTGAGTTCCTGCATTGATAGTCATGTGACATTTTACAGTTTATTTTTCTATAGCGATACACAACAAAATAATATTATATAAAGTATTTTTTACAGCAAATTTATAAAATAATATAATATTTGGTTCATTAATGTTCATCAAATTCTGTCAATTTTATTGAGATCCGTAAGTGTTTTTGTGGCAGATAAATACTGATGCTGATTTCCTATTATCAATGTTGAAAACAGGTGTGCTGCTTAATAATTTTGTTGAAACTGTGATATATTTTATTCCTTACATTTAGGATTCTTTGATGAATAGAAAGTTGAAATGAACAGCATTTATTTTAATCTTTTGTAATATTATATATGTATGTACTGTAACTTTTGATCAGTTTAATGTGTCCTTGCTGAACAAAAGTATTAATTTCTTTGGTTTTTCTTACATTTTTTTAATCTTACTGACCTCAAGTTTGCAAAGAGCCTGAAGTTTGTTCACAGCTTTGATTTTTTTCATCCTAGATACCAGCAGTAACCCTTCAACTGGCTTCTACTCTTCCATTCAACGACTACCCTAACAATGCTTTCCGCAACTCTTTCTATTATCAGGTATTTCTACACTTAGGCATGCATGTACTGCACCAGCTATATAAAGAACATATGAAAAGTTATTAATAATTTACCAAACTTTGAGAAGTGATAATTAGCACAATTTTCTCTGTGATATAATTGGTCTCATGGCTAGTTCGGTTGCACTAAGGTTAAATGCCCTCATTTGTCAGTCACCGGGTGAGCGATAATTAATTCATGTTAAGCACACTTAGTGCTCTGTCATACAAACCCCTGTGCACTTAGCACTTCCTATGTCTTCAGGAGGGACAGAAGACCCTGTTTGTTCGCTGTCAGAGGTTGCAGTCAGTGGGTGGCCTCTCTCTGCTGCTTATGCACTGTGCTGCACACATTTCCACCAGTCAGATGAGGCCAGGCTCCACTCCCACCTTCCAAAGGGCCTTTTTCAAGGTGTTATTAGCAACTGCCCTACATCAGCACAGCCTGAACAAACCAAGAAAGAATGTGCTAATGAGTCTTTGTTGTAGACGTCATGCCCTGTCCCATTTTGCAGGTTTTACAGTTGGGCCTAAGTGAGCTGTTCCATGCCAGACTGGGACAAACTGATGATGAGAGGACAAAAGATTTGGCGTCTGACGGAGCTCTCAACGGTCTTCTGCTGGAAAGAGTGCAGAAACCAAGTCCTGGGGTTTTCTCCGAGGATGTAAGTTTGATTTATTTCACCATATTCGCCCCTCGTGTTCTCAGTAGCTGTTGCCAAGTAATTCACAGGGATGTAACAGATGCCGTAGGATCAGACTGATGTGGCAGAAGTAATACTTGTCGGAGTGTGAGATTTCGAATGTGTGCTGTTCTTTGGGCAGGATGTTTTGGGATGTCTGCGCAAATACAGAGAGGCTTCAGTGTTCCGCCAGGTCGAGAGTCTCCTAAAAGTGTCTCCTAAGAGCCTGGAGATCAAGCACCTCAACACTGACCCGTCACTCAGCGATGGCCCAGACAGCCAAGATGCCGCTCCTCCATGAACTGACAATTTAACTTTGAACAGTGCTGCCTTTCTGACAGTGATAAATCCAGCTTTCAAAGGCATGTTATGTGCTGTGAGGCAGCGGATGGCCTTATCGTCTTGGATGGTAACAGTTCCTGGACTGGGTTAGAGCATCTAGTTTTGCTTCCGGTGATGACCCAGCACAGCTAGATATCTACTTTCTTGTACAAAAAAAAAAAAGGGCATTAAGAAAACACATTATAAGGGTCATAAAACTGCATAGGTCCAACAAGCAGGCCTCTGTTTAATGCAGTTTTAATGTAATTTTGGAGGATAAGGGCATGTTACAGAATTTGACCATGTTGGTATCTACCTAATCTGACTAGCTTCCACCAAATGACAAATTTGCACCAGAATAGTTATGCCGGTGAACGTCTTAACCTCAGTCAATAAGTAAAAAACTGACAGAGCTTTCTAACGCTGCATTAATGGCGCATATTCTCTAAGATTATGAGAGACGAATCTACTTCAACATATGCTGATAACGGTATATAACGGTCTTAAATTATTCCCTGAATATTTCTCTTGTGGCCCGTATATATTGAAAAACATGAGAAGAAACGTACTATTTTGCGTTAAACATGCTGTTCTTGAAAATCGGTGCATGAAACAGCTGCTCTTAATTTTCAATGATGACAGCAGTGTTAATCATTTTAATTATAGGCCTGTTAAGTCCTCTTAATATTGCCAATATTTGATGCTTTTGACAATATCTCTGGCAATAGTTGACACATGATACGCCGCAACTCAGCACAGGGAGGTTATCGTGAATTAAATCTTAAAAATGTCTAAATATTTAATGCATTATTACCATTAAAATGAACTTAATTTAGTATTTAAATAGTTAAGTATTTAAATAATTAACCCTTCTGCTGTTGGTGTCTGGGCTTATTTGTTTACTTATTTTTTAAATGACATGAGACTTTAAACTTTGACCTCCTGCTCTGGCTATATTTCATAGTCATTTTGTAATAAATCCAAAAGCAAGTCGTGAGAAAAAAAAAAAAAAGGGGAGTGGAAATGGCAACAGAGCTAATGAGTGATCATCTGCTGCCATCAACTGGATATTAAAGGTAATTTCATGTCATTTTCATCAGTCTTTGTTGCCTTTCTGACAGTGATAAATCCAGCTTTCAAAGGCATGTTATGTGCTGTGAGGCAGCGGATGGCCTTATCGTCTTGGATGGTAACAGTTCCTGGACTGGGTTAGAGCATCTAGTTTTGCTTCCGGTGATGACCCAGCACAGCTAGATATCTACTTTCTTGTACAAAAAAAAAAAAGGGCATTAAGAAAACACATTATAAGGGTCATAAAACTGCATAGGTCCAACAAGCAGGCCTCTGTTTAATGCAGTTTTAATGTAATTTTGGAGGATAAGGGCATGTTACAGAATTTGACCATGTTGGTATCTACCTAATCTGACTAGCTTCCACCAAATGACAAATTTGCACCAGAATAGTTATGCCGGTGAACGTCTTAACCTCAGTCAATAAGTAAAAAACTGACAGAGCTTTCTAACGCTGCATTAATGGCGCATATTCTCTAAGATTATGAGAGACGAATCTACTTCAACATATGCTGATAACGGTATATAACGGTCTTAAATTATTCCCTGAATATTTCTCTTGTGGCCCGTATATATTGAAAAACATGAGAAGAAACGTACTATTTTGCGTTAAACATGCTGTTCTTGAAAATCGGTGCATGAAACAGCTGCTCTTAATTTTCAATGATGACAGCAGTGTTAATCATTTTAATTATAGGCCTGTTAAGTCCTCTTAATATTGCCAATATTTGATGCTTTTGACAATATCTCTGGCAATAGTTGACACATGATACGCCGCAACTCAGCACAGGGAGGTTATCGTGAATTAAATCTTAAAAATGTCTAAATATTTAATGCATTATTACCATTAAAATGAACTTAATTTAGTATTTAAATAGTTAAGTATTTAAATAATTAACCCTTCTGCTGTTGGTGTCTGGGCTTATTTGTTTACTTATTTTTTAAATGACATGAGACTTTAAACTTTGACCTCCTGCTCTGGCTATATTTCATAGTCATTTTGTAATAAATCCAAAAGCAAGTCGTGAGAAAAAAAAAAAAAAGGGGAGTGGAAATGGCAACAGAGCTAATGAGTGATCATCTGCTGCCATCAACTGGATATTAAAGGTAATTTCATGTCATTTTCATCAGTCTTTGTTTTCCACCAGGAGACAAATTTATTTAATCTCATCTTCATGAATGAAATGTGAATCTTTAAAGTGAATTTTACTGCACAACTATAGAGTTAAAAAAAATAATAAACAGTGTAAAGTATTATGTGTTTAAAAAATTTGTTTAAATTGGGGGAGATGTCTTTCCCCCAATTTATTTTTGTCACTTTTTTCACCCATGATGGGTTTGCTTTGCATCCCTGATGACTTTCTTCTTTCAGACGAATTCAGTCAGAGTTATATTAAAAATGTGCTGGCTCTTCCAAGCTTTATAATGGCAGTGAATGGGTGTTGAGATTTTGAAGTCCAATAAAGTGCATCCATCATAAAATGTGCTCAACACAGCTCCAGAGGGTTAATAAAGGCCTTCTAAAGTGAAGTGATGTGTTTGTGTAAGAAAAATGTTCATATTTAAAACGTTATAAACCGTAATTTCTAGCTTCCGCTAACTGTTGTATGTGCATTCACGAGAGAGTGACGTTCCAGCGGACGCTCCGGTCGCGAGAACCAAGTTTTGTTTACAGCAAAGGCAAACCAGTCTCCTCTTGGCTTATATCGAAATCCTCCAACATTCTTCTTTACAATCTTCGCTTTGTACTTCTAATTCGTGGTTTTTTGTTTTGCTCTCTCTGCTGCACTCACATGTTCGTTACTTCTCACCGGAGCTTATGCTACACATACGTCCTACATCATCTACTGGAACGACACTCTCATGAGCGTGCGTACAAAAGTTAGTGGAAGCTAGAGATTATGGTTCATACAGTTTTAAATATAGATATTTTTCTTACACAAACACATCAATTCGCTTCAGAAGGTCTTTATTAACCCCCCGGAGCCACGTGGAGTACTTATGATGAATGGATGCACTTTATTTTGCTTCAGGACCACCATTCATTGCCATTATAAAGCTTGGAAGAGCCAGGATATTTTTTATAATATAACTGATTGTATTTGTCTGAAAGAAAAAAGTCATATAGACCTAGAATGGCTTGAGGGTGAGTAAACCATGGGGTAATTTTCATTTTTGGGTGAACTATCCCTTTAAATTTATTAATTAATTTATTTACTATAAATTTATGATTATAAATTTGCTCAAGTAGCAAAAGAAAAAATCCAAGATAGCGTTTCCACGCCATTCCCAAAGAAGAGAGAAAGATGTAAAATTTACAGTTCCTGTCAGCCGTTGTATTAGAAACAGCAGCAGTTAACTAGTTTTGTTGTAATTTAATGCCAGGGTAATGTTATAAATGTATCTTTACATTTTGTAAATGTGAACATATATATAATAAAACCTTGCTAGATTTACGAAGTTAATAACTGTGGAAATTCTGTGAAATGGGACCATGTAATCAATGATTTATTGCATTTAATTTATTTGTGTTTAGATGTAGAACCATCATTTCCTGCTGTCCATGACCATCTCAACACAGACCTCTTGACCAATTTTAGGGTCATGACCCAGTAGTTAAGACTTATGGTATTCGATTATGACTAAAATAAAAAGAAAGACAAGCATTTACGGAATATATAGTGAAATAATGGCCTGAACTTTGATTTTAAAATAGATTTAACAGCAAAATGCTCAGTGCAGAATTCTAGTGATGATGTTTTAAAGCAGCAACACATAAACCATCTCTGCCTTGTTTTGTATACTATAAAGCAGTACAAGACAGTCCATCTACACTTCTTGGGTGTCTGAGTGCAACTTTAACAATCTTGCTTATCAAATACTTATACGCATATATGCCATTGTACTCATTGTATTGTTTTGCACTGTCTTGTTTGATTGCATTTATGTATATATTCATATAAATTATGTACTATAATTTAAAAACTATAAATTTAAATTTATATAACTATAATCAAACTATAAATTTATAGTGGTGTTTTTCTGATATTCACATTTGATGCAGCTGCTTTTTCGTGCCTGAATGTACCTCTAGGGATCAATAAAGTATGTTTATCTGGAGTAACAACAAGCGAAGGAAAGGAACAATAAAACATTTTTATCTAAGTAAGTTATGCCTGCTTTTGGATTACATCTCAGACGTTGTTCATATTCATGAATAAACTGGAGCACCTTAATTTCCCCATAAACCCTCAAACATAACTAGAGCTCTGGCTTTATACATTTCAACAGTTATTCAAAGTTATGTTTTCTGAGAGAATGAGTGGGTTCTGTCCTTGCACAAGGGCATGGTGATGAATTTCAGACAGTCTTCAGGTTACAAGTTGAGAAAACATGGGATATAACCAAATAAAGTAAGTTTAAAATGAAAAAAGATGTTTGAATGGTCAACAAAGAAGAAGTTTGACCGCGTAGTCATGAAGTTACAAGCATAAATATGTACAGACATATACATATCTGTGCTTACAAGTAGGAGCAAACTATTCCTTTTGCACGTGGCTGCTGTTGCTATGGTCACGGGTACACTTCCATAAACAAAACTGCCTTACTTCTTTAATCTTTAGGTAAAATTTCGGTTGGTGTGCTTTGTAAACCCGCTTCTAAGAATGAATTTGCCAGATAACGACGACCTCGAAAGGTTTTTGAGAAATGTTGACCAGATGAGTAAGTGCTGTTTGTTTATAAACCATATTCCGCCTCGACGCTGCCGTTATAAGGGAATATAATTATACAACGTTGCGCTTTCAGTTTTTTTTTTAAATGAACGTGGCGCACATATTTATTCAGTCATGAGATAAATGTAATCTGAGTTTGAAAAATGTGAATTTGGTGCTTTCTATTTGCAGATGAGTTGGTAAAACAGTTCAATTCCAGCGATGTGTCGTGCCAAGAGAAAGCAATTGCTATGGCAGATCAATTCATCTCATCCCTGGAGCAGAAGGAACCATGTAAAACCAAAATCAATAAGACTGTTATAAACAAAAATCCTTCATCTGAAAATAGGCCACCGGTACAGTATTTACAGTCTGCATTAGAACTATCATAAGAATTAATAAAACACACTTTTATAGCATTTTAATTAAATGTTAGAGTACTGTATGATTATCAGTAATAAAAGAAGTGACTGTTGCATGCTTTATATTAATGCCTAATCTTTCAAAAAGCGAGTAACAACGCTGTTGTCTTCTTTTCAGAACATCCAGTATGAATCAAGGCAAAATCCAGGTAGGTTTGTGTATTGGAGTCTCCTATCAGTTCTTGGTTCGGCAGTTGACAAGACTTCTGTCTCTGTTGAATAATTTGGTTTCAAGAATAAAACTTGAATGTCTGCCTGAAGTCTTGTAAATGATTCATAAGTCAATAGCTCACCTTCATCTTCACTTCTTGTCTTTTTATTATAAATCTTGCAATGGTTTGTTGTACCCTTCGATTCGTCAGAGAATTTCTTGAGGATGTTAGAAAAAGATGCCGAGGAGAGAAGACAGAGAAGAAAGATGAAGGAAGAAAAAGCCAATGGTGGGTACTCTGAAGCCTGAGAGCGAAATGGGCAGTTTGTGTTTTGGGTTGTCAGTTTGCAACGTCTAGATTTGCTTTGTCCTCGTTTGACCCGCAGCGTTAAGGGAGCAGGGGAATGAGGCTTTCACTCAAGGTGACTACGAAACGGCTGTCCGGCTTTATACTGAAGGCTTGGAGCAGCTGCGTGACATGCAGGCTCTCTACACAAACAGAGCACAGGTACTTCGATGTTTCAGAATGAGTTCTTGTACAATAATCTGATAAATCAGTATCATAACTGCTATTCCTGTGAGACTGCTCCTCTTGTGATTTTATTGTCTCTTACATCCATGTATTATGTAGGCCTTTATCAAGTTGAAGAGATATAAGGAGGCCATAAGTGACTGTGAGTGGGCTCTGAGGGTGAGTAAAACACTGGGAAAGAGGTCAGAGAAGTGCCCTCTCATTTTTCAGTGTCAGCCGAAGCAGAGAATTTCTCATCCTACCTTGTCTGGTGAGAACAGCAGGCTACATAGTGCGGTGTCTATTGAACTGGATAGTTGTGCAGCATTAGAAAATTGGGTTGAAGTTCCTTCTGAGCTGTGCCAAATAGTTTTTGCTTTTGGAAAACTTTTAGAAAGTGTTATTTATATATATATATATATATATATATATAAATACATCCCTATAGTCTAAGGAAAATCCAACATATTGTCTATTGGGTCAGTGACAAATAAGAGTGTCTAGGATTAAAAAAAATAAAGGTCTAGTTTAAAATGCCAGTGTAGTGCAGTGTTCTTAATGTAATCTTTTGCATTCATGTTTCATATGTTTAAAAAAAAAACTTTTATACCATTTCATTATACCATTTCAAACAGAAATTTGAAATTTGCAAAACCATTTCAAACAGAAATATTTACAAAAACTAACTTTGCAATAAAAAGCTCAAATTATTTGATATTTTGAGACTTATTGACCTTGACACAGTCATGATGGTCTTCAGGGGTTCTATCTATGATATCATTTCCTGTTTTATATTTTTCCCCATGTGATTCTCCATTTTGGTCACACCATATGACTGTGATTTAGCAGACCAAATGTATTCAAATGTAATATTTTAAGTAAAAAAATAGTTTACTTTTTAATATTTTTTCTATTACATAATAATACAATTATTTTTCCAAGCTACCTAATATGTTTTCTTTTCACATATTTCATCCTTTTAAATAGGATGAATTTTTATGCCCCCTAAAAGATATCCAAATTAGCTTTAATTGAGATATTAAAATGTTTCATTATATAAAAGTTGTAATAGATTGACTAAAGTAATAATTTGCCCAATAAAGTAATAGACTGGGACAAAATAAATCCCATTACTGATTGTACTTGATTACTTCAATGCAATTTTCTGTTGTTTTCAAGTGGCTAATGAATATATAACACTTTTGTTCACAGTGCAATGAGAAGTGTATTAAAGCATATGTACACATGGGAAAATCTCACCTAGCACTCAAGGATTTCAAACAGGTAAGTTTCGTTCAATAGAAGTCCTTCTGTCCTTTCAAGTCTAAATCTGGATTACACTTACATTTCTCAACTTATCTGGCCTCTCTCCTTTCATCCTGCTGCTTTTGCTTCACTTTCAGTCCAGGATTTGCTATCGAAAAATTTTGGAGATGGAGCCACAGCGTGAGACCATGGTCAAAGGTATGATCCAAAAATGCTGTGAGGATCTGACGCAAGGGAAGGCAAGGTCAATATACTTTAGATCCATGCTTTAGCACCACAGTAGGATTAGCATAACTATTATTTTAGCATCCACTCTGTCTGGATATGTACCTTTTTGTCAAGCATCTCTCAGAATAAACTGTATTCACTTGTAGTTTTTACATGAGTCTCTCTCAAACGCTCCATCTTTCTCTTGCTTTGATGCTTACACCAGCAGTTTTTAGAACATTAGTTGCTCATTTAAATTGATTTTGAACATATCAAGAGGAATAATGGCATTATGGATTCCCATTCTATGCATTTTAATAGAATATTTCCACATGAATTTGCAAAAAAAGAAATATGTTCGTGAAGCAGTCACATGACTTTGCATTACAATAGCTTATCTGAGACAAGTGGATTTGGAAGAGAAGGCATCTCTCCAGGAAAAGACAGCTTGGGAAGAGCTACAGGAGGGAACGGAGCAGGCCATGGCAGTACCAGAGCTGCTGAAGAAGCTCGACAGACCCAATGAGATCAATCTTTACTACTGTGGTGGATTGGAGCTGCTCTCACAGGCTATTAAAGACTGTAAGTACGCATGATTAGTTCAGAATCCTTTGTTTTTTTTTAATCAGATGCTGTTGTTTTTTCTTATTTATTCCTTTAATTTTCACTGAACTCCAGCGGTTTTTGTAGGATGAACAAATGTTTACGCCCAGTTTTGAACCTCAGATTTGTGTGAAATATGCGTTCGGTTTACCCGGTGTTGTTCCAGCAACCAGGGTGATATTTCTTGCACTCGGGATCGATACGGAGAGGAGAGGAGTGAGGAATTTTGTGCAGAGGGCTCATTGATTCTGCTCTGCGGTTCATTTGCAGTTCATGATGAGGAAACTAATCCTCATGATCAGCCACAGAGGACAGACACAGTCCTATCATAAGTACAAGCTCAAGGCTTTTAGACTTTGTTAGTGAATGCGTGCATTACCTTTCAGTTTTTGTTTGCTCAATTCTGATCCTGTGCCAATATATCACTGCACAGATCAGTGCAGCAGACCCTTTTGACCATTTAGATTGTGATAAAATATACTATATACAAGGGAGAACCAGGGCTTGTTACCACACTTCACAACAGGGGTAAAGTGAATATTTATCGAAATTCACTTTACCCTAGTGAATGTTTGTGTTTGAAACTCAGTTTCTGTACAAACACAAACCTTAAAGTACTGCCTACAGCAAAATTGTAAAAGTATATTTATTATGAAATCAAATGCAAAAGGTCACACAAAATATCAAACCGTTGTTTAGTAATAAATTGTATGCATTTATAAAATGTTATTAAATTTCAATTTAAATCTACCTTTATTATACAAATGGCTCTTGTCTTAATGTACAACAGTGTTCAAAAGTTTGGGTCTGTAAGATTTTTATGATTTTTATGTTTATGAAAGAAGCCTCTTCTGCTCACCAAGGCTGCATTTATTTGATCAAAAATATAGTAAAAACACTATTATTTTGAAATATTAGAATTTAAAATTCTGTTTTCTAATTTAATATATTTTAAAATGTAATTTATTCCTGTGATGGCAAAGCTGAATTTTCAGCAGCCTTTACTCCATTCTTCAGTGTCACATGATCCTTCAGAATTCATTCTAATATGCTTATTTGGTGAAAGAAACATTTCTCTTTGTTATCAATGTTGAAAGCAGTTGTACTGCTTCATATTTTTGTGGAAACCTTGATACATATTTCTCAGGATTCTTTGATAAATAGAAAGTTCAGAAGAGCAGCATTTATTTAAAAAAGTAATCGTTTGTAAGATTATAAATATTTGCTGTCACTTTTGCTCAATTTAATGCATCCTTTTACTGGCTCAGAACATTTGAACGGTAATGTATACAAATGTGATATTACAAAGACTATTTTGACTTTTTTCTAACTAGAAATCAAAAAACTATTGCTAGAGAAAACACATTTATTTAATGTTGCAGTCCTTTCCAGCAGATATCCTCCATTAAAAAGTATTTCAAGTGTCAGAAATATTCTACAAGGGTAAAATATGGGTCTGCATATTGTGTAGCAAAATATTGAAAGCACTCCTGAAACCTGAATAGGTCTTTGTAAACTAATTTCTAGTATTTCCACAGAATGAACACTGCCTTTGTGTAGATAAGCCAGCGCTCTCTTATTCTTGATGACCTTTTGTTTATTATTCTCCTTGCACTCTCTTTTGCCCTTGAACGGACCGTATTGTGTGTCTAAGTCTGGCTACTGTGATTTAGTGTTGATATATGGCTCTCACTACACACCTACCAACACTGACCTTATCTGGTGTCCCTCACAGGTACTGGGCAGACATTATTCAGATTAAACAATGGCTTCAGTATCATCAATGGCAATAACACTGTAAGAAGGTAAGGTTGCTAAAGAAGTGAACCTGACAGTTTGTGGTCAGAATGTACTTTGCACATTTGAAAACGGCTGATGTGGTGTAAAGGTCTCTAGAAGTTGCTTAATTTTAATTGAATGAGAAGATCTTACTGTAGTATCATAAAGTTTGCATTCATAATCCACGTATGATTGCATCTTCAGCTTTCTCTCCTCTTATCGGTTGTCTTTTTCTAACCAAGTATGCTATTAAAATTAATTGACTAATTTGAATGCAATTTTAACAACAGATGTGTAATCTGGCTCTGCTGTATGATCATGTCATATTTACCTTTCCACCACCAGAATGAAAATGAAAGGGTTTATCTGTGTTTGACAATGATGGATTGGTTTGTTTGGGAGATTCGCTGTTTGTTTCATACAGTTTGCACACATGTGGTCTCTCATCTTTAAAACATGTCTGTTTAAAGGGATAGTTCATTCTGTCATTTATGCCACCTCATGTCATTCCAAACCCGAATTATTTTAGTATTATTTATGTACTTTTATAATATTTATTATTATTTTGAACTTTGTTTTCAATTTTCATTTTCAATTTAGATTATATTTGAGTAATTTTGTTATGTGATTTTTCTTCTTTTGTTAGTTCTTAATATATATATATATATATATTTTTTTTTTTTTTGTTGTAATGTTAGTACGTAAACATATTTTAGTGTAGGTATTTGTTAAGGCTTTTCTGATTTTCTTTAAAATCTGTAAAGTTTTTCATTTAATTTTTAGATTTTATTTTTTTATTTTAGCTTTATTTCAATTAACAAACACTGTTTTTAATAGTTTTAGTTAACAATAACAACACTGAACCAACTATTTCTCCCATGGAACAGTTTTTGAAGAATGTGCCAATATACATTTACATGCATGAGGAACGGAGCTTTCAAGCTTTAAAAAGAATCCAAAAGCAGATTATTTTGTTTTTGGGTGAACTATCGCTTTAACATTTGATCTACAGTGCATGACTGAAATGTATTTACTGTATTTCAATTTTTCCTATTCTGTATTTAGCTGTCTCTCACAGAATTCAAAAGATCCATATGCGGTTGATCTATGTATGTCCGTCGTCAAATTATGGAGGACAGTTTGCAGTGGAAACGGTAAGATGAAATGCAGCATGTGAGCATATGAATCTTATTCAGAGACCTTGAAAATGAAAGAAGCAATTGCTGAGGAAAAATATCAGCCCCATTTGCACATTTCTTTTTTATACTTTCAAACTGTCTCTGTTTGGAAAACTTTAAATGTATTGACAGCACTTAATCTGGTTCAGCTTTTCCCCGCTTCTTTTAAAGTAATGAGCATTCGTGAAATTGACTAAATCCAAAGCGATATCAATTTATCCTGTTCTTGCCTGCTAGCAGTGAAATTGTTATTGCCTCCCACATTAAAAGTCTCTTTAGTAAGTAGTTTGTGCCCTTCAGTTATAATCTCATTAACTGGTCAACTACGTCTGCATCCGTCTTTATTAAACCTTCTCCATAACTGTGTTCCTCCCAGAGCAGAACCAGCAGCTGTTGATGGAGTGTCCCAGTACTAGACAACACATGGTTCAGCTGTTGGCATCACCGGTACGTGAAATACAGAGGGAAAGCCTGGAATTGCTCAGCATGTACTCACAAACTCAATACGGAAGAGACGTGCTCATCGACAACCTGAATTTAACCCAGTATGTATTTTTTGTGTCATATTGAATGCATTGCATTGTAGTTTACAAAATGATGTTCATTGAATTAATTATTTACAACATAACACATGAGGAGCCATTTAGACATGACAAAATGGATTAAATTAAATATAGATATATAGACCAATTAAATATATAAATATAGATAGGGTTTTTTTGGGGTTAAAAATGATCCGAAATCAATATTTGAGCAAGTACATAACCAGCCAGTGTTCAAAACTATCGCCTTACTTTAGCCCAATTCACAACGGTTAGCTTATAATAATGTTTTCTAATTTGAGTGGTACGGGTAGGTTTTCGCGGGAAATTCGAGAATGCCGCTGCGTCATTACGTCATGTCTGTAAACATAAAGAAGTTGTCCCGGCTAGTAGGCTATCTCATGTGAGGATCCTGCAGGTGGCCGATCGTTTATAGCCTTTTCTCACAGCATCTGGAAAAATTAAATTTATCATTTTGATGGCGGATTGTAATACAGAAAGTATTATGTGTTTATGAAACACATGTGAATGAAATTAAATTATATTCCAGTTTTAAATGTGCTTCTGATTACAGATAGCCTGGGATTACACAAGATTTGTATTTTAAAGACCACCAGTTCGAAGGGAGCATAATTTACTTTTTGGTTAAAGGAATTTCTTAATATGAAATTTGAGTGGTAAAACAATTAGAGATTAGACTGTACAGAAATTGAAATCTACTGGCTTATACACACTATACTCATAGTCACGCAATGCTGATGTTGTTACTTTTAAAGACAACCAGTTCGAAGGGAGCATAATTAGCTTTTTGGGTTAAAAGAATTTCTTAATATGAAATTTGAGTGGTAGACTACAGAAATTGAAATCTACTCGCGTATACACACTATATTCACATAGTCACGTAATGCTGATGTTGTTAACATTAACAATTTGAGAATAAAGTATAATAATAATAATAATTTGCACGGTTTGATGTGATATGAGCTAATTTAGATTAAATCACCATTGGTAGCGCGATTTATTGTAATGCTTTTTTCCTCAGTTGGTCAGAACAAACGTGGCAGACTTGTTACTTACTTGTTCAGATGACAATATCCGGTGAAAATTCTTATTTGGCTCATATATTCCAAGACGTAGGCTAGAATCTGTGATTCTGAAGTACAGTGAATATCCACACCGGTGAGGTGACTATGTGACTGCCACACATACTCCTCAAAACATTAGATTAATTTGCGCTGGAGCCCTGCCGGAGCACAACCCACGCAAGGAAGATAATTCCGCAAACAGCTGCAATTGCAGGTTTTCAAACAGAGATGGCGACAAAGAGGCAAAACTTATGGACTGCAGCTTTAAGCAGCATGATTAATTTATTATATAAGTATGTTTAATAAATAATTATTTATATTGCTTTTATAATATTTACTAATATTTATTTGAATCCACTTTGATGTCAAATTCTTCTCAACTTCCTGTGCTGTTTATAAAGCAGAGCATATTTAAGTGTGGTGCTCCTATGATATCTGTGATTCATCTCATTAGCTAGCATGCAGACGACCTCCTACTGTTATAGCATGTTTTATTAAGGTCCTTTTAATGAGCCCATAATGAATGCGATCTGTCCCCTTTAGAATGGCGGGGAACCTGATGAGCTGTGTTTGCCGGGATACAAGCTCTGCATTGGCGCTTACAGTTCTGGAGAACTTGGCTGCAGAAAATAAGTATGCACAATCAATATATTTGCCCTTACCATATACCATGCCCTGTTTTCATGTGAAGTTGATGAATGCCTGAAACAGAGACAGTGAAACTGCCCCTTTTTACGAAATCTTGGGCACGACCCACCCGAGAGTCCATTAGATTCCCATACATCATAGTCGCACGTATTAAATCGAGACACATTCAAATTCATTCAGCTCAACAGCCCAGGTCCCTTGAGAACGCAAAGTGAACACATTTAAGACAAAACAATCCATCACATTCACAATTCCCTCCATTTATCTCTGTGAAAGAGATCAGCCTCTCGCCGTTTCTAGTCATTCACCACCTTACAGATAGAATAAGGTGCTCCCAGTGACCAGGAGACGGAATTAAACAGCCACTTCATGCACAGAGGGAAATGAGAATGGCGTAACAGTTTGATAGATAGTCAATGAAAAGTGTCCAGTGAATTCAAGCCGCTCTCTTGATTCTAGATAAGGATGGTTAGGCATATTGGTCTTGTCTTGTGTTTTACTCTGAGCGTCAGCAACGTGAGATTTGAAACCATCATTTTGCCCACCACATTATGACGCCTTTTTATCTTTTGCTCCTCTGGCTTTTTGTGCATTACTGCGCCAGGGTTATCTGAGGATTTAAGTCTGTTGAGCTTTTTTAGTCAGTAGTTAGTTTCTTTATTTAATAATTTGTTGTTGTTGTTTGTCTTTTTCAGATTTAAGATTCAGTCAAGGGAGATCTTCACAGCAGTGTTTGCCCTTGCTCTTGAACATCTGCTGGTGATGTATTATGAAACATCATTCATAGTCATCCTCTTAATATTTATAATAATCTAAATTATAATAGCGTATGATATTCTCATCAATAATACTTTAATTGATTTGATTTTCTCAGACATTTTCGGATTGTACTTGGCCATCATTATCGATCATTAATTTGGATTTTATTATTTTACTGTACTGCATGATAGAATAATGTAGAGTTTGTCTTCTGGCAGCAAAAGACCCCAGTCTTCAGAGAAAGCAAATATGTTGCTGCATTTCAGTGCAACATAGATTACAGTCCATATAGACCCCCAATTAAATCAAATGATTAGTAAATGTACTTATCATATTAATGCTAGTATGATGAGAGCTGTTTCTTATTATGTCTTTTCATGAATGGTAACAGACAAAAACTTTCTTCTGTCTTTTTTTTTAAATTTATAATTAGAATTCATAATTATTAAAATACTTACTTATTACATAATTAGCTTTACATGGGGTTGGTAAACTTTTTAAAATATTTCTGTATTAAGTCACTCATCACGGCTGCATATATTTGAAGAACAATTAAAAACAATAATATTGTGTAATATTATTACAATTTAAATAACTTTTCTATTGTAATGTGTGACTTTGTGACAGCTGTGATGACAAAGCTTTTTTTAGCCGTCATTATTCCAGTCTTCAGTGTCACATGATCTGTCAGAAATCATTCCAAAATGCTGATTTGCTTCTCAAGAAACATTTCTTATTACTATCTGTGTTAAAAACAGTAATTTTGTTGCGCAAACCATGTTACATTTTTCTGGATTCTATGATGAATATAAAGTTAAAATGAACAGCATTTATTTGAAATAGAAATTTTGTAACATTATCAAAGTCTTTACTGCCACTTTTGATAAATTTAAAGCATCTTTTATGAATAACAATATATTAATTTCTTTCAAAAACAAACAAAAAGATCATATTGACTCAGACTTTTGAATGGTAGTGTACTGTATATAATTAAAAACGTCCACTTTTCAGCTAATACTGTTTTTCCGATGCGCTTGTAGTCAAATATCATGACAGCTGACCACAAGACACTGGCTTCTGTGATTTCTGTGATTGGGACCATGTCTCTAGATGATGCCATCAGTAAAAAGCTAGCGGGACGTAACGAATTTTGGAGATGCTCTCTCCAAGCAATGGTAAGCTTGGAGATGATAACCCTTTACATCACAACCGAGCTCCCAAATACTCTGTCCTTGAGCATTGCTGAATTATGTATGATGTCTTGCACTGTGAATTTTGATTCGGAGGGTTTGTTTCTAAGCTCCTTGTGCTATCTTGTTGCATGAGCTGTGAAACAGCCATTTCCCACAGACGCTAAAACTGCAAAAGGACATGAATTAAATTTCCGGCACTGTCAAGATAAAGCTCTGTTTTGGTTGCAGGAGCGGAGTGTCGGCTGCGAATGTAGAAGTGTCCTCTATCCCCTCCTGGGTTTGATGATCAACTTAGCCTCAAATCCCTCTCAAGTTGTCCAGGTAAAGCAGGAAGTTTAATACGGTGGGCTCTGGGCCAGCCCTCATCGGAAACATCAAGCACTTTTGTAGCCAAAGGGCCTTGGATAGGCAGAATGTTCTGTTAGCGCCTTTCCTCTCCATATGTTGCAATCATGTCTGAAACACCAAAGGAAAATTGGAGAGAATGTTTTTTTGGCTCTCTTTTAACATACAGGAGCACGCTGTTCTGGCCAGCAGCAGGTGCTTGCACCTGCTGAGCGATTCCTCTGGAGGCGTCATCACAGTGAGTTGAATTTGTTTTAGCAAGGCCAAGGCAAGCTTTAACCAACCCCTGATGACTGGAGCCGCCAGAACGTTTGAACTGTAGATTTCTGCACATTAATTATTGAAATGTTCATCCTGCAGGATGTGGGTTGTTGTGGAGCCCAGCGTATTATTAGCATCTCTAGAGCATCTCTACAAAACATTTACACATATGGCTTCTACGGGATCAAAAATGGAAGTTCAGAGTTTAAATATATGGATGTTCTTAGATGGCTAACATCCCCAAGAGAAGGATTTTGCATGCACGGAAGTATTTACATAATGATTACTGTGGCAGCCGCAGGCCCTAGCCAGGGGACTATTTTCTCTGACTATGTAAATCAGGTTCCAGGTTGTTTGCTTGGGTTTTGCTGCCTTGGCGCTTCATGTCTTTCCAGTCAGGCTGTTTCTCAGAGTACAATTAAGGTGAAGAAACTTTGCCTTTGTCTCCCTTTATATATAATGGAACTGACTTTTGCTGTGATACAGCTTGAACTGCAATTTTGACAAGCCGCCACAAAATACTTTGGAGTTATAGCCTAATCCTTTTGAAATGTCCTACCCATCCTGTTGTGGTATTAAACACGTTATCTTGTTTTATTTGGGCTTCAGAGAGCTGCAGGTTTGCTGAGCGTTCTGCTCCCGTTGTCTTCTGATGCCACTCAAGAAGTTGTGCAGAATGGAATAGTGAAGAAGTTGCTGAAGACTCTGAAGGTAGAGCTTATATCAGGTTTTAGAATTCAGTATAGTGTCTGTAAGGAAAGAAAGTCGAATTAAATGAGATAAAAGATATTGAAGATGGTAAAGATTATGCCCTTTGCATTAAATTGGTAATGTAAGTCACTACTGAAAAGACCATCTTAGATCAGTGTGGGAAGTTTTTTGTTTGAGAAAGTTTACATTGCTCTTTTTTCATAATCGGTGGATTATACATTTTTACTTAAAAATGTCTTAAATCAGCCCAGAACCCACATTTCCTCAGTTAATTTAAATAATTACTTTTTAAGCCATCATTTAAGACATATGTATCATATTTTGCTAGCATTATTTATTTATTTTTCTTGGAATTGAAAGTAATGTAAAGCTACCTTTATTTATTTGCGTATTAATTTGTATATTTGTTTATGACCTGGTTTCATCTTTTGGTGAAACTGAAAGCCATGTAAAGCCATATGTATAATTTTTCTGCCTTTATTTATTTAGCTAGTTAGTTTCATCCTTTGTTGCCATTGAAATCCATTTAAAGCCATATGTACAATTTTGCTGCATTATTTGTTTAATTATTTTACCATAAATAATAATAATTGTTTATAAATAAACAAAGGTTCATCCTTTGTTGGCATTGTTTGCTACCATTATTTATTTACTGTATTATTCATAATGATCTTATCTGTCTGTTTACCTGTCTGTCTGTCTGTCTGTTTGTTTGTTTGTTCAACAAAATACAACAATGTGTAATGGTTCAAATGCTTTATTCCTGTAAAGCCTGGATTATTAAATAGGATTTAGAGAAAATATCATGAGTCTCTCTATCATTTGATGACATTGAAACTGTTTTTAACAACCACAAATCAAAACAAAAAGGCTTTATGAAATTAGATCAATATCATTTGTTTTGTTTTTTTACAATAAACAAATTCATTTTTTTTGTGATCTATAAATCCCCATAATAGCCTGATCATATCAAACCAATTCTGTATCAAATATAATGCATAAAACGTAATTGCAATAAATATTTTAATATTCATTTATTTATTTCTAAATATTGTTTAAAATTATGGGGTAATTTACAGGGTAAGGAGCTTAACTTTGGGGGGTCTCCACCATTACACATTCTTGTATTCTGTTGACCTGGTGTGTTGGTTTTTCTCAGTAGAGTATTGCGGTTGCAATCGTAGAGATTTAACTGAAATGTGCTTGTGTGTCTGTCTTTCTGTCCTGTCAGGTAGGAGGAGAGATGAGCTCCAGATACTCCATTAAAGCCCTGACAGTCTGTACTGCCTCAATCCCACAGGCCTGTGAGGAGATGGTTAAGCTTGACAAACGTGAGTTCTGAGGGTCAGGGAGGCAGAGGATTGGATTTTGTGGCCTTACGGTGACTTTGTGTATGTGTGTGTGTGCTACCCACATTTATTCATTCAGGGCTGCGCACTTTGAGAAAACTCCTGGGTGGTATTGATGAGTTGGTGGTAGGGAACGCAGCTTTGTGTATGGGCCATTGCTTAGAAGTGGATGGAGCTGCCGGTGGCCTCCTAGGCACAGACTGCGTGCAGTTGCTGCTACACCACGCTGCTGGAGACGCCAAAAGAGCAGCCGTTCGACATAATGCAGCCATTACTCTTGGGAAGCTGTGCAAAATAGAGCCCAGGTATAATTAAGTCTGACTTGCCTCTTGCAGTCACCTGTATTATACTGATTAACATTCATGCTAATGTACTTATACACAGCAGTGATACTCTGGGAAACATGAAGGTGAAAAGTTGATGCCTCCTTATAATTAACCTTAACAAGAATGCATAATGAATTAAAACACCTCAGATCTACAGTTTTTGATTTGATTCAGATATTAGCGTGTTTGTTTGTTGCATTTGAAATTTGTTTATATTCTCATTTCTCGTCTCATTTTAGGGCTGTTAACGAGATCTTTTACAGATTGACATTTATTGACCTAGAGAACTATTGAGTTTTTTCCCCTTCATCTTTAATGTATGAAGCGTCCACAAGCTCAGGTCTGAGAAAAAGTAGCAACTCTGTTAGTTAAGTGTTCTTGAGGCGTCTTATTTTCCCAGTCAGCATCAAACAAGGACAATCCAACAAAGAGGAGTCAAAATCTTACAGCATTCAACTTTGACGAGCTTTCAACTTTTTAGAGGTAATGCTGCTCAGAGCATGAGTCTTTACAGTGAGATTTCAAACCTCTGAGATCAGAGTGCAGCCTAACAAAGACATTTTAGACAGAAAACAGTGGAAGGTACAGACACTGCCAAAAATCGTACACATTACCGATGAACCTACTTTGTATGCAGGGCAAAGTTGCTGACGTTTTCATGCTTGTTTGCATTTCATATTCTTAGCTCTGGTTTTATATTTGACACTTTAGAGTTCATTGTGTGGTCAAAATGAGAAAGAACCTAATTCTGTTGGTTTGATATATCTCTGTTTTGATTTTTTCAGGCACATGGAGAAACTCAGGGAGCTCCATGGTTTAGAAATCCTTCACTCCTGTGTGAGATTGATCACGTGAGCCACTACCACTCATTCGGTTCCTCAATAAATGACCCCATAACTCAGGACAGGCATGAAAACACACGCACACACATACACACACACACACACACACACACACACACACACACACTCACACATAGAGATGAATGCTGTCCTTTGCTTCACAGCTTAAGATGCTCATCTTAAGTGAGGCCACAAATTACTGTCATGCCTTAAGGCCTATCTTGATTATGCAGCTGTTTCCTGTGTTCGTTTTAATTAGAGAGAATTCACATTGACATGTGACTCTGTTATCTGCTGTTGTTGAGAACATGTTGCCCTGGGACGATATTTGAAACGTTTCAATTTCCTTTCATCCCAAATGACTCGCTTGGGGAGTGTGTTGCCTTGATTACATTTTGCTCTGTTTGTTGATAAATGGATTAATATTAGTGTAGTCTCCTGGGCATGCTGTCACCCAGCTTCATGCAAACCTCAACTTCAGTTTTTTTCCCAAACTCGGTCTGAATAATTTTTGGTCCCAAATTTTTTATCAGTTTTACTGGTAGTCCACTGTATGAAGAATTTTTGGGTATAATTTATCACAGTTTACTTTATTTTGCTGTCCTCACTTACATAAATGAACTATAGTGTCCTGCACCCACTAAAAAAAAAAATCTAAAATTATATCTGGTCTCTGAATCATTTTTGGTTTGACTGTATATCCTTCGGTTATTTTCACACTTAATTATGGCCATTAAAATGTGCGCGCTCTCTCTCTCTCTCTCTCTGTCTCTCTCTCCCGTTAAGTAACTTGTGCATTGTTTTACTTACTTGTTTATGACATATCCGACCGAACTACAAGCTTTCCAGTGATGTCTGTGAGAAAGGTATATTCACTCGACAAGCTCGCACATCTGCGCCGCTGTGCGCTCAATCCACTCACGCGCGCTCAATTTGTTTATCAGCTCGCGCACATCAGCTATACAGGCATTAATACTGAATGTTTAACATTATATTCATTGCATACATATACTTCGTATACATCCTTAATCTCTAATAACTCCATTCTGCTGTCTGTTGTCGGTGTTTCTTTGTCTGAATATGGCGCTTATCACATGCTGTGTGGTATCGGCGTTTGGTATCTGGGCATTTTAACGAGTACGAGTACGAGTACGAGTACAAGAGCCCAGAATCGGTATCGGTGCATCCCTAGTTTTCATGTGTTAAATGGAAAAGATTAATAAAACTGCATTTGAAGATAATTATGGTTAAAGCCTGCTCATCTTTGCAGACTTGATAGCTTTAGAAAGTATTTGATGATGTAATAAGAAAAAGAAATATTGTTGCAATTCAAAAGGGTTTAGCAGATATGAGTCTGACAGTGTAATCCAGGGTTTGGGACTGAATTTCACAAACAGACTGCAATATGGAACATCAACACTTCAGCTTTGTCCCAGAACATGTTTAAAGGGATAGGATAAGGGTAGTTTTTGGGTGAACTATTCCTTTAATTAAACCACCCGAATTTTGGTTGATTAACCAACATTGACGTCCATTCAAAAGTTACCATGTCTTCTGACAAAATACTTTTTCTAAGCATATTGCTAATGTTTTAAATTTATATATATATATATATATATATATATATATGTGTGTGTGTGTCTGTGTGTGTGTGTGTGTGTGTTTCCTTTTAATTACACATTTTGATCATCTGGGATTAAGGATGATGATTTTCAAAGTTTTGCTAGCAGCATTTTTGATACAAGACTTCAGCTGCTCAACAGTCCATTGTCGTTGTTATCTGATTCTCCTTTTCATGATGGGCCATACATTTTCAATAGGAGACAGATCTGCTGGCCAGTCAGTCACATCCACATGTGTCTACGAAACCACGCTGTTGTAGCACATGCAGAATGAAACCTAGCATTGTCTTGATCTAATAACCATGGACTTCCCATGAAAGATGTCATCTTGATGGCGGTATATGTCTCTGTACAATCCCAATATATGCCTCCATGTCAATGGTACCTTTACACATATGCAAGTCACTCATGCCGTTTGCACTGATGCACCCTCAAACCATGACAGACGTTTGCTTTTGCACCTGTTACTTATTAAATTCTGAATGGTCCATTTCGTCTTTGGGACTGTCAATTTGATGTCTGTATTCCCCAAATACTAGCTGAAATGTGGACTCATCTGACCACAGCACACATTTTCACTGTCTTTTGGACAGTCTAAGATGAGCTCGGGCCCAGAGAAATTCGCTGGCATCTCTGCCTAGAATTGATGGCAGATTTCTCCTTGAGTAACAGACATTCAAGTTGCATTTCTTGATGCAGCTGCAGACTGTTAAGTGACAACAGTTTTCCATAGTACTCCGGAGCCCATGTGGCTATATTTCACACAGCAGCATGACAGTTTCTCATGCAATGCCATCTGAGGGCTCAGAGGTCACACACATTCACCTGAGGTGTCCTGCCTTGGCCTATGCGTCCTAAGATTTCTCTGGATTCCCTGAATCAAAGTGGTGAGCCACGATCCAGGATTGCTGGCAAAGACAGAATGCTCCGTATATAAACCCAATCATAATACACTGACCAATTCACCTGCTTATTGTGGACTGTTTCAAATCAGTTTAACTGGGATATTCTATAACCTTTTCACTTTTATTATGCCTCTGTCCCAACTTTTGTGGAGTGTGTTGCAGCCATCAAAAATTAAAAATTGTTTATATTTACAAAATACATTTAGGTTGGTCAGTTTTTGCTGTTTACAGAGCCAAGAGACAGGTGTGACTTCTCAAGACACCCATTTCACTATTTCAGTGATATCTGTCATGTAGTAGGGAAAATGTAAAGAATCGCTTACAGTGCCTTTAATATCATATTTCTACATTTTACATTTATTCACTTATCCTAAGCAACTTACTGAGTAAGACAACAAGATGATTCATCATAAGGAGCAATAACAGGAGAAGTGCTAACAATACAAAGTTTCAAACATTGTCTAGAGTAGTACTTTCTAGAACAAGAAGGGTTTTAAGAAATAGTGAAACCATATAAGACTTTTTTTAAGAGTTAGCAGGATACGGTCAAGTGCTTACAGAAGAGATGAGATTTTAGCCTTATAAACTACATTCATATATTCTTATATTAAAGACAGAACCAGGCCCCCAGAGACATCTGTCTTTGAACTTTCCAGCAAGTGAACAGTGGTTCAGATAAATAAAATTTCTACCCAACTGTAGTTCTTGGCACACATATACGTTATTGACCATGAGTGGATTAGACTCAGCTTTAATCTTTCTGGTGAAGGAAATGTGTTAACTCACCTGAAGATGAATTGACATGAAAACTACAAGCTCTCTACACTGTATTTAAGTCTTATCTGAATCTGTTTAAAGGGGTCATATGATGCGATTTCAAGTTTTCCTTTCTCATTCTGTTACACCAAATACACAAAATAATGATCTTTAAAAAAGCATCATATGACCCCTTTAATAATGGATGACTCGAATACTACCTTATCATAGCAGCTCACACAAGCCGAGGCGCGCATGAAAAATTATACTCAGTCAAACACAATGAGGGTGATGAGGGATTCTACTGACGCAGAAATTCGTTTTATTTTTCTCAGCTTGCTTTTGTTCACGTGTCAGTAATCTAATCTACTTATAAATGACTAGAGAGCAAGGTAAAGCTCTCAGTAGGCTCCTGCAGAGAGTGTAGTGTGAGCTCTGTTGGATAGTATCCTGTGTAGTGCATCTCAATAGAACTTCATTATGGTGTTATGTATGTGTAGCTTAAAAGAAACCAAGAGAGAAGATTAAGTATGGGGATTGGTTTCATATTTTTCATTTTTGGACTCGCAGGTATGTACACTTTTTGAATGTACACAGTTTTTCCTCAGTAACTACCGATAGCACAATTAAGTGATTTTGCAGCAGCAAATATCATAAGACATGATTGATTAAAGATATTAAAGTTTATAAACTATAGTTGTGATATTAATGATATATATATATATAATTACAATTAAAATTATAATATAATTAATTTTTAAGGGAAATAATGAAATTAGAATTTAAAATTATATAAAATCATACAATTTTTGTATATAATTCTACATTATGTAATTTATATTTCATATATAATTTTTGTTTATATTTTCACATAATTAAAAATATATTACTTTTTGACACATTACACCCACCAATGAGCTTTTAAACAATATTTACATTTAATATAATAATATATTTGTATTATAATAATACATTAAATGTGTTATAATAATATATTTAATTGTGATATAAGAGCAATATTGCTTAGATGCAGAGTAAATGTTTCAAATCAGTTGTTTTTACAGTGGGCCCATCTTTATGTGTGCAGTTCAGTACTGTAAATTTTCTGTTCTGTGGTAGCAACTTACAAAAAATCAGCAAAAAAAATAAAATAAATATATACTGTATATATTAGGGGTGGAACGGTACACAGATGTCACGGTTCGGTACGTACCTCGGTTCGGGGGTCACTGTTCGATACGATTTCAGTACAACAGGGAAAAAAAACAAAGTTGATTCTGCTGGTATAAGGAAACAGTTGAAGTGATCGCGCCAGCGCGCGCACACACACATCAGTTCCAGCATTGCTAAGTTGGTACTTTATCAAAATAAAATACAGTGAACCAAACATCAGCGCGCCCGCCTCAGTGTCACCGTTGGAACGTGACTGAAGTACAAAGCCTATAATTTACATAATAATAGTTTAGCATTCAGATACGTTACGTCGCAAATATGGAAATATTATGGAATATTTGGATTTGTGCAGAATGAGAGAGGTAGGATACACAAGCACAAAGCTCCATTTCAGGTAGGATACACGAGCACAAAGCTCCATTTCGCAAACAGTTGAGTGCACAAGCCTTTAAAGTATACTCCTTTGTCAGTCTGTGAGAGACGCATTCAGAATCAGCACATGGTCACTGTCTAGTGGGCTTTGTTTTCAAGTGCGTATTACTCATGGCATTCGCTGTTCTTCTGCTG